AAAAAAAAGAAGTAGTAGACTAAGAGCCGATGAGCACCAAAAAAAAAAATACGTGTGGCACTCGGGGACTGCCGCGGTAAAGCTATTGCATAGCATTTTTTATCAACTTCGGTTTTTCGATTTTTCGATTTTTCGAGTTTTCGATTTTTCGATTTTTCGAGTTTTCGATTTTTCGATTTTTCGATTTTTCGATTTTTCGATTTTTCGATTTTTCGATTTTTCGATTTTTCGATTTTTCGATTTTTCGATTTTTCGATTTTTCGATTTTTCGATTTTTCGATTTTTCGATTTTTCGATTTTTCGATTTTTCGATTTTTCGATTTTTCGATTTTTCGATTTTTCGATTTTTCGATTTTTCGATTTTTCGATTTTTCAATTTTTCGATTTTTCGATTTTTCGATTTTTCGATTTTTCGATTTTTGATTTTTCGATTTTTCGATTTTTGATTTTTCCATTTCTCGATTTTTTGATTTTTCGATTTTTCGATTTTTCGATTTTTTGATTTTTCGATTTTTCGATTTTTCGATTTTTCGATTTTTCGATTTTTCGATTTTTCGATTTTTCGATTTTTCGATTTTTCGATTTTTCGATTTTTCGATTTTTCGATTTTTCGACTTTTCGATTTTTCGATTTTTCGATTTTTCGATTTTTCGATTTTTCGATTTTTCGATTTTTCGATTTTTCGATTTTTCGATTTTTCGATTTTTCGATTTTTCGATTTTTCGATTTTTCGATTTTTCGATTTTTCGATTTTTCGATTTTTCGATTTTTCGATTTTTCGATTTTTCGATTTTTCGATTTTTCGATTTTTCGATTTTTCGATTTTTCGATTTTTCGATTTTTCGATTTTTCGATTTTTCGATTTTTCGATTTTTCGATTTTTCGATTTTTCGATTTTTCGATTTTTCGATTTTTCGATTTTTCGATTTTTCGATTTTTCGATTTTTCGATTTTTCGATTTTTCGATTTTTCGATTTTTCGATTTTTCGATTTTTCGATTTTTCGATTTTTCGATTTTTCGATTTTTCGATTTTTCGATTTTTCGATTTTTCGATTTTTCGATTTTTCGATTTTTCGATTTTTCGATTTTTCGATTTTTCGATTTTTCGATTTTTCGATTTTTCGATTTTTCGATTTTTCGATTTTTCGATTTTTCGATTTTTCGATTTTTCGATTTTTCGATTTTTCGATTTTTCGATTTTTCGATTTTTCGATTTTTCGATTTTTCGATTTTTCGATTTTTCGATTTTTCGATTTTTGTTAGTGAGTCGTAGAAAAAATATACTGTACAACTCCAGTGGGCTCGAACTCACACGTGGACGCGGCCAAAAGCACGCTGTCTCACCTAGCATTGGGTCTAAAAGAGATAGAATCAGTTATGAGCAGTTAGCAGCTAGTCTACACGCATACGCCGGTCGGAGTGGGGGGTGTTAGGTTTTTTTTCGTTACGGTGTTACGAAATTTCTTGATTCGGTCGCCACTCAAAGCCCGCGATAAAAGCTATGCAATAGCTTAAAAAGAAGTAGTAGACTAAGGGTCGATTCCACCCTTGTGTTAAACGAAGTTTAAATTACTAAGCAAAGATAAAAAATTACATTTTTCTACGAACTCTTACAAAAAGACATCTTTCGCCACAGGTCAGCGAAAACTTGATTTCCGTCACTAGTGAGAAAAAATCCCATAACGTTTACTTTCGTCTCTAGTGACGAAAGTAAGTTGTTACATATTTTCATATATCAGTCGCCTCGTATAATATTTTGGCAGCTTATAATTATTAATAATGAAATAAAAAGATGCTTATTAAATTCTATATGCGTTTTTACCTTAACTTTAATGAATTAAAGATAAATAAAAATGTATAAAAATAGTGCAAATTAAACCAATCTACATCTAGTTTCCTGGTTTTCATTTGTTTATTTGAAGTTTTATCACTTTTGAGAACTGTCAGTTTCAGTTCGTCCTAAATTTACCACATTTTCATGATGTCTGAGTCAGAAAGCGATTGTACTCCCCCAGAAATTATTTTTAAAGCTGAAGAAACCTCTTCAGATTTATTACCGGCCAAATCAAAAAAGAGATATGAAAAAATTTATATCAAATTTTTGGACTGGAGAGAAAAAAATAAAGTGAAATCATTTTCGGAAACTGTACTACTAGCATACTTTGGAGAAATATGTTCAAATTTTAAACCGTCGACGTTATGGTCCATTTATTCGATGCTAAGAACTACACTCTCTGTTAAAAATGATGTCGATATTAGTAAATATCCAAAGTTACGTTCGCTTTTGAAAAGAAAATCTGATGGTTTTAAAAGCCAAAAATCCAAAATTTTTTCGCCTGAAGACATAAAGACTTTCCTAAAGAATGCACCTGACTATAAATATTTAATAACAAAGGTAACGGAATTATTATTTTTATTTTAACAAATACTTAATACATAACTACTAATATTTGTAGGTAGCATTAGTTTTTGGATTATCTGGAGCTTGTCGTTGCCACGAACTAAAATATTTAACAATAAGCGATGTAAAGGATACTGGAAGTATTCTGTTAGTTAAAATCCGTAATACAAAAACAAAAGTTCCGCGTTCTTTTCATATTTCTGGACCCTTTTATGATATTTCTAAAAAATATATGAGCCTACGTCCCGCAAACATGGATCAAATTAATTAAAGATTCTTTATTAACTATCAGAATGGAAAGTGTAGCAGACAGGTTGTTGGAATTAATAAAATCAGTAAATTTCCTAACGAAATTGCTCAGTTTTTAACGCTTCCGAATCCTCAAGATTACACTGGGCACTGTTTCCGCAGAACATCCGCAACGTTATTAGTGGATGCAGTAGGTGACTTGCTTCTGTTAAAAAAGCACGGTGGTTGGAAATCTAGTAGTGTTGCGGAAGGATATGTTGATGAATCCACGAACAGTAAAAACCAAATACAAACCAAAATTTTACAATCTGTACAAAATAAGGAAACTACTACCAGGTCTTCAACAATACCCGAAACCCACGTGATCTGATAACCATCAAAAACCCATCGAAAGGGCCTGATTTGACGTAAAAGGAACTAAACTAAACTGTCAGTCCTGTCAGAAATGTCACTGGCGTTCATTTCATTTGGGGACTGAGAATATTTATATTATATTTGTTTACATTTTATAAACACCTTTATTCCATTTTTCATTTAATATTAATAGAGCAATTAGTTATTTTTAGAGATTATTCGTGGTTTAATTCTTTTTTGTTGGTAAGTACAAATTTATTTACTGTAACTCGTAAAAGTTAATGACTGTATATAATTTATTTCAGGTAATGTTACACTGGAACAAAATTATTTTATATTCGTAATTGTATTTCAAAATTTGAGGAACGTTTTCCAGGTGAATAAATGGAATGTGATTCTTTTTTGTCGTCACAAACAAATATTTGGTCAAAATTATAAAAAAAGGAAAAAGCTCTAAAAGGCCCAAAGTAATAACAAAAGCTGTTGAAGATGTGCAAATTAACATGTTGCAAATTCCCAATAAATTAGTAAAAGAAAACAGCACTTCAGATATAAACGGTGTTTTATAGACTGACTCTAACGAGTGAAATTCAAATTATATTTTTTTAGGTTTGTCGCTATGAAGTAGCCATAAAGTATTGAAAACATTTCTGATAATGCATCCCCTATAAAGTTTCGGTATTGCAACAATCATTTTAGCTTAATTTTGTTAAACCTACCTAGTGAATATTACAAATCGCTCAATTCAAAATAGTTTGTGTGACGTTTATGAACTGGGGCACCTATATTAAATAAAATACAAAATATAACTGAGAAGAAACTGCATAATGTGTTCAAAAAAGAACGATTGGTGCTTGCATTAAAGCTAGTAAAGATTTTGAACAGATAGGTACTGTGAATTAATATCGTTTGTGCACCACCGATTACTACTCAATATCATTTTAAATAAAATAGTTGTTAATAGGTATGCCTTTATAATTTAAAGTGAGAGCTGTAAGGTAAAACAAATGTGTGCTTGTTATATTAATAATATTAATATTTTTTTGTATACATATAAGTAAATAATGTATTTTGTAAATGGTTTAAACCCTGTAAAAAATAAATAATAGAACAGACTTAAATTATTTGTTTATCACTTCCCATTGCCCAGGTACAATTCCAGTAAGTTTTAAATTTGTTTAGTTAAAGTGCAATAATTGCCAAGTACTGTCATTGTCTTCTGTTTATCCTATTTAAAGTTTCAGCTGTAAGACTCAGTCTAAAGTAAATAATTTTTAATTTTATTCATATTTTAATGCATAACTTTTTTTGTCCATAACTTTCTGGTAAAAGTTTTTTTTGTAATAGTGGCAATAACTAGTACGCATATTTCAGTTTATTATTCTTTTCGTTAAATACAAACTATATATAATAGCTCAGTTCACTCGACCATTCACTATTGGGTACTAATTAACAGTGCTGTTCCTAAAGTGGCACTGGGAAACAGTAACAAAGCCTACACAGAACACGAGGCTAATAACCGTAGCAGTTGATGCCGATGACAAAAAAAAATAGCTTAGTTTTTAAGGTTATATTAATTATATCAATTTTTTTTTTTAATTGGTGTCATCGGCGTCGACTACTACGGACATTAGCCTCGTGTTCTGTGTAGGCTTTGTTACTGTTTCCCAGCGCCACTTTAGGAACAGCACTGTTAATTAGAACCCAACAGTGAATGGTCGAGTGGGGAATCCTACCAAGGCATCAGAATTAATTTTAAATAATTAAATTAAATGAAAAAATTCCGGCCAACGGTGGGATTCGATCCTGAGACCTTCCGATCTCAAAGTCATGACTCTAACCACTGAGCCAACCCACCCCTTATATCAATTTTAAAAATTAAATTATTGCATTTGACTAAATCTAATTAAAATATCGAATTCTAACATTAAAATACAATAATGTAAAGCACCTCTAATTAATATTATGATTTTGTGTTGTAATTCTAACAGTTACCTAACTGAATTTTGTTCTCGCAGTTGCAGACCATAAAAAAAAGAAGATCTATTTTGTAATAAAATATCTACGGCGCTGGCTCACATCTAGGGATTTTTACTTTTATTTTCACCAATCGCTGTCATGACGATTTGGTCACGTGGGTTTTCGGTATTGTTGAAGACCCAGTAGTTCATCCGATTATGGCGCATCATCATCTGAAATGACATTTAACAGTAAAACAAATATGTCGGCATCTACCTCAATAAATAAAAAGCTTGAGTGTGATACCCTCATAATTTTGAACAATTGTTCAAATATAACAATAAATCAATATTTAAATAATAAATAATATTTCTGAAATATTTAATTGTTGATTAATTTTTTGTTATTCCTAACACAAAATAAAGCATTTGCTAACGTTTGTTTTTTTTTCATTTTAGTAGGTACCTACATGACATAATAGAGTTCGTAGAAAAAGTATAGTGTTTTACTCGTCGAAAATCATTTTTTTCGTCACTCGTGAAACAATATACTATTTTTCATTAAGAATGTAATTTTTTTCTGGACCGGCGCGGCGCCGATTTATTTAACTTTCCGCGCCGGTCCACCCCTGAGGCTACTATTATTTCTTATTTCATTCAACTTATTCAACGCCCACCCATTCAGTGTGTATTTATTGACTGTGTTCTTTGCACCCATTATGATCAGCGAAGCAGCACATTTATAGTAATATAGATATGATTTTTCCAAAATCTGTAAAAATTACATTACAATAACACTATAATATGGATTCTGCAGCTTACAGGATATTTTTTAGAATTCTATCAATATTCTTATAATCTAACATACAAAGTAAACTATTTAATTAATTTTTAATCTTATATAGTAGGTAGGTACATCTGTCAACGTTTCGTTTTACGAAAAAAGTTAAAAATAACCTTATTTTCGTTATGGAACGTTCGCATAAATTAAAACTCACTTACCAATGTTTAAACTGGAAGCCACAACAGCACAGAAAAATAATAAAGATTGACTAGTATACATCATTACTTTGTATAAATGTAATTATTAATAAATAACAATGTCCTCTCCAAGTAAATAAGACCAACTAAAAATATTCAATGAGCAACGAGCAACGAGTGCGCAACTAGCATCTGGACTTGACTTCAGCTTTTCTAGGTCAACCAACACAAAACAGAATACACAAATTTTCAACGTGGTACATAGCCGGCGCGTCGATCGCCTGCAGCAGCTTAGGGTAAATACAGACACAGCGGTTCAGCCGCGGTTTTGCGGTTCTAAACTACACACCGTGGTATGCCACACACAGTGGTTTGGCAAAATAATTTCTGTATCTAGTAAATGTCACACACAAATCGAATTTCTTATAGCAACTGAAAAATTTGGTTGTAAAAATATGGACAACAAAAAGTTGTCAACCGTATAATATTTCAAAGACAACTATTATAGTATGAGAGACCACTGCAAATTTCGACCGTCATCTGATAACGAAATGAAATATGCTCCAAAAGCATGTAACAACATTGTAGTTTACCAAATTGCACCTGTGCCAATCCCTAACCTGAGCAAAGTGGTTAAAAAAAATTATTTTATATTCATAAAATCACATAAAACATGACAGCGACAATTATATTTTCCCTGAAAATTACAATCCTAATTCATTGTGAACCTATCTTTTAAACCTGAATTATTAATATTTTTACCTACCTTTTAAACCATGTTTATGTATGAAAGGAAGAAGGATGGCATTGTATAAACCATTTGCAGAGATAGTCAATAATAATTATATAATCTTGTTAGACAATTATTTTAAACCATAATCATAGTAGTTTTTTTGTCGTTTCTATGGCAACCTGTGAAAATGAATCACAACAATAGGCATACAAATACATGTTTAAATCAGCGAACATTGATTCATATTTTTAATAATATTTACCTACTAATCGTGGATAGATGTTTTTGTGCGATGTTAAGAGGAAGAAAATGTTTCCCTTTAACGATATATATCAAGATATATTTGAATGTAATTTTCTAGAAAACTTTAAGGGCAAACAAAATTAGCGCTGTCATGCCTTATGTGATTTTTTTAATATAAAATAATTTTTTTAAGCCACTTTGCTCAGGATTGGGATTGGCACAGGTGCCATTTAGTAAAGTACAATATTTTTCCATGCTTTTGGGGTATATTTCATTTCGTTATCAGATGACGGTAAAAATTTGCAGTGGGCTCTTGGGCTATTAGATGTGGATATAGAGTTGGTAAAAATAATAATAAAAAAAGCGTCCTGTGTTCTGCGCAATTTTGTTAGCACGACAGGCGGAATAGAAATTCAAGAAGAAAATAGCAATCAATACAAAATTCGAGAGACGCTACTCTCGTCGACTACATTCAATTTTACCTTAGATAAACTCCCTAGAAACTTTCCTAAAATACAGGGTGTATCTAAATAACACCGAAAAAATTAAAGGGGTGATTCTGTGATGAAAATTAATGTGAGTGTTTAGTATAAAATTTTTTGAAAAAACCCTCTCCGGAAAAGTTACACCCATTCGAAAATTAAAAAAAATAATGGTTTTTCTTTTTTATTTTCCCTGTATATCAAGCTAAAGACACGAAACTTGGTAAACATTATCTGTCAATAAAAGTACACTTTTTGAAATTTTTTCAACCCTGAAGTGTGCTTAGAAGGGTTTGAAATAACAACCCCTAAGATATTTTTTCTTACAACTTTTTTTTAGATGAAAATTTTTTCTTTAAAAAAGTATAACTGAAAAGCCCAATTCATTGACTAACTTTTTTTACTCTACAAGTTTTTTCTTAAACTTGAGCATTTATGAGAAAAAAATCTAATGCAATGCATTTTCAAAAAGATGAGCTAACGCGAGTGTATTTTGCGTCAAGTCTAGTGGCCTGTGCTTTGCATAAAAACATTAATACTGATACCAGGATTGTGTAGTGTCATTTTCTGTTACCCATCTTATTGTTTCACAAGTTTTATGATTGTGTATTGTAGGAAATATTAGTTGATTGAAAATATGAATGCATATTCGAATTTGGAAATGGCATACATGCATTTTACATACGGTCGTGCTAACGGTAATTCATTGGAAGCGCAAAGACTTTATGCTGAACAGTACCCACAGCGTAGACTACCCCATCATACTACGTTCACAACTATTCACCGACGCTGACGCTTGCGGGAACGTGTTAATTTTGAAAAAAGAAGTTATGATTCTGGTCGTACTAGAGAAGTTAGAACTGCAGCTGTAGAAGAAGCCGTACTTAATTCAATTAAAGAATTCCCAGAAACTAGTACCAGGAGAATAGCTCGTGTCCTACATGTAAGCCATTCCGTTGTTTTTAGAATTTTAAAAGAACAAATGTGTTATCCCTATCATCTTCAACGGGTGCAGGCGTTAATGATTCGAGATTTTTTACCCCGTGTGATTTTTTGTCAGTGGCTTATTAATATGATTGGCCAAGCACCACAGTTCTTAGGTTATATTTTATTTACTGACGAGGCGAGTTTCTCAAGAGACTGTATTAGAAATTTTCACAACAATCACCTTTGGGCTGACGAAAATCCTCATGGCTTTTTTGAAGGAAATCATCAGTATCAATTTTCATTAAACGTGTGGCTCGGAATTATTGATAATCATTTAATTGGTCCCCATTTTCTTCCGCTACGATTAAATGGTGAAGCATATTGTCATCTCCTTGAAGAATTACCTGTTCTTCTTGAAGAGGTTCCCATTCAAATTAGGCAACATTTATGGTTTATGCACAATGGTGCACCAGCTCATTTTAGTATACGTGCAAGAACTCACCTGGATGAGGTGTATGCCAATCAATGGATAGGTCGAGGAGGACCTGTAAACTGGCCAGCCCCCTCCCCTGACCTTAATCCTTTGGATTTTTGCATATGGGGATATCAGAAATCTTTGATATACACAAACCCAGTTAAAAATATCGATAATCTGCGAAACCGCATTATAGCAGGGTGTGAAACTATAAGAAATTCTCCAGGAATATTTCATCGTATACGAAATTTTATGAGGAAAAGGGTAGATGATGCTTGTATTGAAGCTGAAGGCGGTCATTTTCAACATTTATTATAATTGTATTGTCGATATTCGACAGGTTTTTGTTCATTGTTTGTTCACTTTTGTTTTTAGTTGTAGAAGTCTTAAGAATCATAATTTGGTTGGCTGTTGTTTAATAAAATGCTATTGTTAGATTCGTGCAATATTCAAGACGCCACCACTGCCTAAGCGATACTTGGATCTTGGATATTGGATACACACACATACGCACTCGACGAGTGGAAGACCGAAAAATCGAAAAGACACTTGGATGATTTCATCGCAGAGATGTTGCACAGTTCCAATAACAGCAGGACAACTCCAGAACAAGTTGATTTGCTCTTATTTTGGTTAGATACCGACAATTCTAAGGTTTGGTTACAACAGTTCGAAAAGATAAAGAGAAATTTGAGTGGTAAGACCTGCAGGTACAGGTAAGAGTTGAACGCTTTTTATTGGGCGATGCTAAAAAAAAAAATATGGTTTGAGAATTGGTCTCCAACATTAAGAGATTTGTTTAATTTTAAATTTGAACTTTTAAGAGTCATTTTCACACAGAAAATGGTAGTTTCTTATTTTGACAGCTCACTTTGTAAATCTTATACAGCTTACGTGCATAAAAAAAAGAATTGCTTTACTGAAAAAAAAAAATAATAATAATAATTTTAAATTTGAACTTCATTCAGTCATTTTCACATAGAAAATTGTTTGACGATTATTTTTTTGAAGTCTCTACCTTTGACAGCTCAACCTAATTTGTATACATTTTATGTTCAAAACAAAAAAGGTTGCTTCATTGAAAAAAAAAATGTAATTTTAAATTTGAACTTGTTAGAGTAATTTTAATAGAGAAAATTGTAATATCTTCTTTTGACAGCTCACTCTTTAGTTCTTATGTAGCTTATGTTCACAAGAAGTTTTGGCTTTGTTAAAAAAAATTACGTGTTCTGACCTAAATGAATTGATTGTTTATGGTATTCATGATACTAAAGTACAAAGAGATTTTATTTCCTATTTGGGTACTGTCACGAAACCCTTAGCTGTGACAAATATTTCTAATTCTAGTTCTGAAAAAATCAATCGCTTTCAGCACCTGGAAAAATCAGAACAAT